ATATAAATCATGGCCACGAACTTCTGTACCCAGCACACTTTGGACAGGGGCACTTATAGTGAACCTAACAATAGAATATTTAAAAGGTTGAGATAAAAATATCAACAGAGGTTCTATTACTTTTGTGCACCCCAGAGGGTCCCCTTGAGACCCTATTCCAAGCACCCAGCTGGCTGGGTCTCTGGCCTCTGCACCATCAGTGGGGGTGGGGGGCTGGGGGAGGCTTCTGGTGCCAGAAATAGGTCTCGCTGCAGGTGTAGGGGGAATGTTATCTGTGAAGCCTGAACTTCCTTCCTTCCTTTCTTCTTTTCTTTCTTTTTTTGGTTCATTTCTTTGGTTTGTTTTTCACTCTGGCAAGTTCTGAAATAAAACAATACCAGGCCAGGGAAATATCCTAAGGATATGTCAACATGAAAAATGTTCTCCTCTCAAGCTTTTATGTTTCAGCAAAATAAGCTCTCTTATTCTGAAACCTCCCTCCTTTTTCCACCTCCAGGTTCCTGCCCGAGTGCCCGAGTCTAGCTTTTCATCTGTGGCATCTCCTGTAGGAGATTTATCAACTGTCCCCCAGGTCTGCTTTGGGCAGAGATGAATGACCCACTGTGTTCTTTCCCTGAGCCCTAAGAAAGCTCCCTGACCGCTGATCATCCCATCCCTCCGTCCTCTCTCCCCAGCAGACAGGAGATGAGGCAGGAGAGCCCAGTGTCTTGTTTCCTTCCACCCTGACATCTGCTTCTCCATTTTTAAGACTTGAGTGTTCTACTGAAGCCGTGAGTATTGACCTTGTGAAGCAAGCTTGTGCACTTGTTGAACCTTCCTGACTTTGCCAAATATAACATATATTCATAGAGTAATTTTCCTGAAGTTCAAGGAGAATGAGAACATTAGATACCAAAATGCTCACATGGACTGCATGGCCTTCAGGTTTCTGATTGGACAGAATGAATCTTGAGTCCAGACCCAAACTGGGGATGCTGCTGGGGGTCCCAATGGAGCAGCATCCAGCCTGTCTCTGAGCACAGCTTTATGCAAACTCGTGCTCGTCCATTAAGGACACACGTTTCTCACTGAAAATACTTCTGTTTTCTGTCTTCATTTTGTCTTGTATTTATTTGTGAAATGTTGAAAAACAAAAATTAAAAGGCCATTGTAATCCCTGCCTCCCCTCGGTGGGAAGCACATTCAGGAGACTGCACCCTCTCCGGGGTCCACTTCCTTTGCTGGCAGCCTCTGATATCGGGAAGAGAGAGTGAAATCCTAACCAGCCCATCAAGAAGGGAAGGCCCTCTGTATCCCCACAGCAGGGCCACCATGAGCCAAGGACAAGGTGGGGACATTCTGGGGACGGGCTCGGGGCAACTTGAGCAACAGGTGTCCTAGTGGCCGAAGGCTTGGCTGGCCGGTGACCGAGCGTGCTCACTTTGCTCTTGGAAGCAGAATCTCTGTACAATCACCATGTTATATTGCCTTTTCTAGGTGAAAACCCTCCATGGAAACATCAGTGATAAGAAGGGCAGAGGGATTCGACCCACCTGAGACCAACTTGACAGGTAGCTACTGTTCGGTAAGTGAGGGCAGGTTTCTATCCCAGGGCGGTTCCCACCCGTCACTGCCTCGGGCCAGGGAGCAGAGAGGCTGTGTTCTGGTGGCCGCAGTCCCCAGGACAGTGCAGGGCTTAGGGTAGGACACGTCACCCGACCTCACCAGGAGTGTGCCCACAGCGCCCAAGACAGAACTGAGTCCCAGGAAACAGAGCAGCAATTGGCACAAAAGCTTCATGGAGTCTAAGGTTAGAAACAGAAAGGATCAGGAAACAACAGATTTTTCTTCAAATGAGAAAAAAAAGCCACAGGGGTCAAAGTACTGTCCTCAAGATCACACCCCCAGTTAAGCACAAAATTGAAAGATAGACCTACATTCCTGACCGAATCCCTCCTCTTTCCATCCTGGTGTGAGATGCTGGACACAGAGATAATCCTGGAGGGAACTGAACACAGAGGTAATCCTGGAGGGAGAGGGGAAGGGCTTCAGCATCAAAGGATTTGTGAGTCTCCTCTGCCTGCTGCCAACAGCTGAGCAGCCCACCCCGCATTGCCCTCCCCTGCCCTCCCCTCCCCTCCCCTCCCCTCCCTGGGATGTAATCACGGGATCTGGACACCAGCAGCATCTAATTTTATTCTGATTATTTTATAGATGAGAAAACCCTGCAGGTGCAAGGAGAGCTTGGGGGCAGCTGACTGGGAAAAGCCCTCGGACACCGAGAATGGCCACTTCATCCCAGTTACTTCGAAGAGGCCCTAACACCCCCCCCCCAGACTACTGGACAAGGCTCAAAGATACTGCCCATGAGGTGTCCCTAATGCAGACCCAATGCAGAAACACTCCATTAGGAAAATGAAGCCTGGTCTGCCCGGCTGGCTGCAGAAACCATATTTACCAGGGAAAACGTGTTAAATGGAGTTCCAACCTTGTGTCAGGATGTGATTCTGCTTCCTGAGGGAGCAAGTAATCTGAAGATGAGTAGCAGCTGCAAGAAACCCAAAGAGGTGTGTGTGTGTGTGTGTGTGTGTGTGTGTGTGTGTGTGTGTGTGTGGTGGGGGATCCGGGCGTCTGTGCTGTCTGTGTGGGAGGTGGGCTGTCTTTCTCCCTTCCTGACAGGAGTGACCCGGGGGTTCTGGGTGGATTTAAGGGAGAATGTGATACGCCACCTCTGTCTGACTCTTCTCTCCCAAAGATCACACCAACCTGCAGTTTGGAGCCCTCACCGTAAACCTCCTCCCATCTTTCCAGGAAACAACAAAAACAACAACAACAAACAAACTTGTCTCCAAGAATGAGCACTTCTTAACTCAGCTTGAACTCTGCATGAGTAACAGATTTTGGGGGGCGGTCCTGTATTATTGTCTATGACAGTAAGTTTCTGTTGGGTGCCTATTCCTTGCCAGGTACGTTGTGTTGAAGGGTCACCTGTGTTCTGACAGCAGGTCTCTGCACAGGATCAGATCTCCCTCTTACCTGTGCCAGGAGATTGGCTGAGGCTGGGAGAGGCCAGGTGGCCATGTGGACCCAGGCAGGTTGAGGCTAAAACCACTGGCAATGCAGAAAGAGTGGGGCAGACCCAAGATCAAATCCTGATTCCTCAGGGTGAACCCTCCTTGACACAAGGCTCTCGGGTATGTGTCAGAACCTTCTCTGAACTCCAAACTCACACCTGAGAACCTGGGTCTCAATGACCCAGTTCTGGGGTCCCTGGTTTTGATTGTCTATCAGAATCAGTGGTGGAGACTCAGCCCTGAAAACTCCAGGCCCCCTGACAGGAGCAGCAGGAGAGATGGGGGCAGAGACCCAGCACAGGTGAGCTGGCGGGACAGCCAAGGCCGAGGCTGGCCACATCACTGGTCCTTGGGGCTGGGGGCTGACCCCAGACTCTCCTGCAGGGCAGCGGAGGGGGTGGGTGGTGGCAGAAGTCTGCCCTTCAGACAAGTTTCAGGTAACGGCGATGCCGCTAATCAGGGACCATGCTGTACTATGAGGAACATGTGCAAAGGGCAACTCAGGTGCTAGCTTGGGGTCTGGGGGATACAGGCCCATCCTGGGAAGTGGGGCACTCTCTCCTTGTACAGACTGATATGTGCTTTTGCTCGGGATGGACATGATTCAACCAGAGTCCCATGTTTTACTCCATGTTAAAGAGAGAATGTCAAGCCTTCAGTTCAGAAGCTTCATGAATATTTCAGACTGTAGAATATTTCTGCTCAAAAGGACAGTTGTTTTGAGTTACCTCATTTAACAGATAAGTCACTAGTGGCTTTGAGAAATAAAGGGACCAGAAAAAAAGCAGGCAGCAGGTTAGCTCTGACCCAGGCCAGACTGGAGTCTAGCCCTCCTGGTTTCCAGTTCTCTGGGGGTCTGAGACCTTCCTGGATGGAACTTCACTACGGGCAGCACCTGGACATGCCAGCAGGCCGTGCCAAAGGCTCTGCTGGCCCGGGGGCTGTTGACATCCTTGGGGACCTCAGAAGAGGGGACGTGTGGGCCCCTGTGGACCGCGAGAGTGATTCTAGGAGTCAGGGGCTCGGGTGCCCACCTGCGTTTGCGGATAGTCTCTTGCTTCACAGGGTCCTGGGGGTGGAGGATGCAGTCGGATGTCTGTGACACTGTCAATCTAGAATCCACCTAACTCCCCCCAGCTGCCACCACGGCCCAGGCGTCCCTGAGCTGGTCTCTCTGCCTCCACTCTGATCATCTCCACCAATGTTTAAATTACTCCGACCTGAGTTGTCTCGTCTGGGCTGTCTGGCCAATTTGTGGGTGATTATTCTGCTGCTAATCCACCTGCCCTGCAGACAGAAAACTGCTAGTTTGATTAAAAGGCGAGAGACAGATACAGACCTAAACCTGGGGGAAGAGATTGCAGGCATGACTAGAACACCCCGGAGGTGATGCAGGCCCAGGACAGGACATGGGGCGAGTGAGGACGTCAGTCTGCCCTTGCCCTGAAAGAGCAAATGGAGGAGTTGGTGGTGCTTCTTGGAGAGACCATGAGCAGACACCCACCCAGCTCACACCCACCCTTCCTAGACGACCTCCTCTCAGCCCCTGGGTGGGTGGCTACGCCCTAGAGCCTGCACTCCTGGAGACAGGGAAGCTTTGGAGGTGCATCCTCAGGCCTTCACCGGCCCGGTGCCTCTCTGAGCCTCAGTTTCCCTATCTATGCAAGGGGGCTGGTGACCTGCTGACCTGCAGGATCTGCCCCTGTCAAGCGTCTCCTGAGAGTGAAGAGGGCCCTGGGGCAGGGGAGGGGGTGGCGTCAGATGGGATCCGAAAGCAGCCTCAGTTCCCTCACTGTCCTCTGGAAAGAGGGCCAGGACTGCCATTGATTTAGAGCCACGAAGACCTGAGCGCCGTCCTTTGCCCCTCCTATCACCTCTGCAGAGCTGGGCCATCGCTGTTTTGGGAACCAGGGCTCTGAAGCTGGGAGGTTTAGTCCTGCGCCCAGGATGGCCTCACCTGTCCGCTGCAGAGGTGGGCAAGGGGAAAGCGAGGTCCGTTGGCCCCTCGGCTCTGAAAGGGTCCCTGTTCTGGTGGGCTCCTCAACAGAGTGCGGGGAGGAAGTGATGCCCACCACAGAGGGGCACTGGGAGGAAGTGATGCCCACCACAGAGGGGCAGTGGGAGGAAGTGATACCCGCCACAGAGGGGCAGTGGGAGGAAGTGATGCCCACCACAGAGGGGCACTGGGAGGAAGTGATGCCCACCACAGAGGGGCACTGGGAAGAAGTGATGCCCACCACAGAGGGGCACTGGGAGGAAGCTTGTGGGCATCTCCCGCAAGTGCTCCCTGCAGACGGTACCCCCAAGACAGCCTGGGTCCCTGGTTCCATGAGCTCTGCCAGCAGGTCTGTGGTAGGGGCAGGGGAGGGGGGCTTCTGTTGGAACACCTGTGAATCACTCTTGGGGGCGTTTTCCTCCCTCACACCTGTTAAATCAGCTGGTCGGGCCCCGTGAAAAAACCCTGGTGAAGAATTGTGTTATATCTGTTGTACCGTATGATACTGAGACATCAGTTTGGGGACACTTGACCACTCTAGAACACTGAGAAACCCTGCCCATAAACATAGGTCTCTGTACTTACTTAAGACTTCTGTAACAGCTTTCAGTAAAGCATCAGATATTTTCAGGTTAAGGTCTCACATTTTAAACATTGATTTTTAAATCCTGTATATCTGTACAATTCGCCACAAAATCTTTCGATGACTTTTTTTTAGCAGCTGTTTGAGTAAAAAATACCATAAACTTTAATACACGGTCTGCATCTTAAACAAGAACACTAGGTTCTGTTATTATTTCTCATAATTTGTCTGTAGGATCTTTTGTTTTCCATGTGAACTGTGGTAACATCTGAATCACGGCCATTCCCTTCTTCTCAGGCCCTCTGTACCTGGAGAGTCCTGCTATGGATTGCTCACGAGTGCAGGTGATGGCCATCCTGTTTTGGTCTTACTTTTTTTTTCTTGTTCCTATTTTTAAACAGAATGCTTCTGATGTTTCATTCTTAGGCAAGATTTTTTTTTTCATACCTTTCTGACAGATATCTTCTATTAGACTATGAAATTTTTACTGATTTCTAGTTTGCTAAGAGTTTTTACCATGGGTTTTTATCAAATTTATCAAACAATCTTTTTCTGCTCTCTTTGAGCTAACTATATTGGCATTTTCTTTTAATTATTACAGTGGTGAATTATATTTTAGTGTTATAATGTTTAACCAATATTGCATTCTATAATAATTTCAGCATATTCCTGAGTATTGTCTGTTTCATATAATGAGGCATTTTTAAAATATTGAAATATTTTATTTTAAAGGAATCACTTAAGCATTAATGGCAAACTGCTTTCACATTTCATAGTTTCTTAGTGACTACAGATAATAAAATAATAGAATCAAGTTCTATTGAAACTTATAGAAATAAATTGTGCTGGTGTTTAGTCAAGCTGAAAATTATAGGTTGTGTCATTTCTCAATTACACTAAGTACTCTTTAAAATTTCCTGTTTGTTATGAAAATATGATTTAGAATACCTTTAGTGTATTTGATTTTTTAATAATGCAGTATTTTGTTTAAACATTATGCATCTAGGATGCTGATGGAGATTGTTCTGATTTTCCTTTCCTATATCCGGTTTTGGCATCAATGTTTGGCCAGCTCAGGGAAGGGGTCTCCTTCTCAGGTAGGTTTTGTGAAAGGCAGAGACTGTCTGCTCCTGGTGGAGCATCCATGCATCCAGGGCATGTGGCTCGTGTAGTCCACACCCTGATGTCCTGGGTTCAAATCCTGACTCCGCTCTCTGTGATGCCGGGCAGGTCTCAAAACCTCCCCCGGAGCCAGTTAACTCCCCAGCAGGTCTGAACAGCACACGCCCTGCAAGCGGGTCATTGCAACAGTGAAAAGTTACTTCATAAAAGTCCCTGAGAGTAAAGCCTGGCACGTGACAGACACTCGTCAGCAAGTCCAAAACCCACTGCCCGGGAGTTGGGTGCAGACCCATCTCTGGGCGAGTTTCTAATGTTCCCTCTGTGTGTTTAATGACAAGGGGTCGGACTTGGTCCAATGCCCTTTCTTCTCCAGTAGAGAAGAAATCTCATAGTAATCTAAGAACATGTCGATTTTTCTGTTACTGAAAGTATTCATTCTCTGCTACATCTGTAATTATACATGACTTTTCTTTCTGCATCTTGTTTGTATAGTTTCTCTGCATCAATTTTTCAACCTTATTGGTCTTGTCAGCCACAAGCCTTTGAATATGTTGATTTTCCCTATTTCATTAATTGCTACCCTTTTCTCTATTACTCCTTCCTACTGTTTTCTTTGGGCTTGCTTTCTGGATTCTTTTCTAGCATCTCACATTCTGGGATTTCCATTTTCAGCATTTCTTCTTTTCTGATACAGTCCCATGAAACATATACCACCCCCTTCTGTCATAGGGTGGGGATTTTATTTACATATTTGAGTTGTATCCATTCTTGAGTTTCCATTTTCCCTTGTTCTTTGTCTTGTGAGTCCCTTATACATTTTTTAAATGCTTATTTCTGGTTGTGCTGGAAGCTGTCGGCCCTGGTGTTATCATTGATTTATAACTGAGTCCTGTCTCATTGGCTGACAGACGAAGCCAGATCCTGCTCCTGCCTGCGGGGCCGGGATGGCAGGATCCCAAGTCAAAAAGCATGAATCCTCTTTCCACCCCTCGGCCTGTCGCAGGTTTTCAGGGGTGCCATGCTGTCTGGGGTTTGTCACCTTGGACAGCGCAGAGCCTGGGGATGATAGAACACAAATCTCTGCTGTCAGCTCCCCGGCACCTGCTTTAGGAAGCTAAGTCATCAGACCCCAGGGTGTTAGCAATGCCAGAGGGAGCCCCATACCTGCCTTTAGGGAGAAGAAGTTCCTGTTACTCCAATCCTGTGCTGTTAGAGGAGAACGGCGGAGGGGCTTCATGCGTGTAGAGCAGATAGGAGCAGGATCCAGGCTGTTTGGGCTCCTCTTCCAAGCACACCAAGGTTCAGTGCAAGAGAGAAGCACTGCAGAGTCAGACTCTTGAGATTGCACAGGCTGCCACCCCCTCCTCGTTCTCAGAAGCTACCCTGGGGGCCGTGCAGGTCTGAGAGATGTGGGTGAGGATGGAAGGCTATGCCTCCCTGCCCCGAGACAGTGGGCTTCCTCCCCCTCCACCCACTGTGCTTTCACATGTGACACGTGCCCGGGCAACTCAATCTCTGCACCTGGAAATTGACATCATTGTTCCACTGTCATCAGAATCCAAAGGATGAAACAACACCATCCGCTTTGACAAGTTCCCCACCATGACATCAGCCTGAACTTTTCATCTTGAAATGTGTACCATCCTGCAAGAAGCCATGTTAGAGGGAGAGGATGAACCTTTACTCCAGAGCTGGGCCACTGTGTGGGTTAGGATTCCCTGCTGTGTTGATAGGATGGGCTGGCCTTGGGCAAGGTTGGATAAGATACTATTTCTGGTCTGAAATGACATCATCATGGAGGCACTTTTGGCCTCCAGTTCTCATGAAGAAAATAACATTTTCTCTGAGAGGTTATTTTTCCCCTTGGGTGAATCTGTATATTGTGATGTCATTTCATTATGGCCCAAAGGATGTTCATTTCATCCAGAGTTTCCTTCCTATACATCCTTAGAAGATACATTAAAGAGGAGATAGTTTTATCTCCTGTGTTTAACAGATTTCAGAGAGGATCTTATGATCATTCAATGAGTATTTTCTGAGATCATTTCTCTGGTGATGCAAACAACACATTCTGTCCAAATTCTGCCATTTGGAAAAACATGTCAACACAGAATAACACTCTCTGCGGCTCATCTCTAAAAAACACAGTTCAATGGACATCATTTCTATTGACTTTGGGGAAAAAATTCTCCCCGTCTTTGGGTTGAAAAACAGAGAAATGCTAATGCAAGTTTCCTGTCAGAAACAGGATCTTCTAGGGACTGAGCAGAAATGAACTTGGCAATGATCAATATTTCAACTCAGAAGGAGGCTGGGTTTGATTCAGTCTCTGGAGAATTATTTGATCATTGCTGGCATCTAGCCAAGAAGCCCTAATCCCATTAGCAAAGTGCTTTCTTCCCCAAGAGGAACTGGAGGCAGAGCTGATGTGCAAACAGGGACCTCGGGTCTGATGAGGCCAGCGTGTGAGCAGCCCCCGTCCCCCGGAACTGAGCAGAGCCTGGCAGGCGACGGCTCAGGTCTTGGCGTGTTTGCTTCCTGAATAATAAGACTGTCAAGTACATTTTAGGAAAGTTCTGAAGGGAGATTGATGCTTTTGAACTGTGGTGCTGGAGAAGACTCTTGAGAGTCCCTTGGGCTGCAAAGAGATCAAACCAGTCAATCCTAAAGGAAATCAACCTTGAATATTCATGGGAAGGACTGTCGCTGAAGCTGAGGCTCCAATACTTTGGCCACCTGATGGAAAGAGCTGATTCGTTGGAAAAGACCCTGATGCTGGGAAAGATTGAAGGTGCGGGGAGAAGGGGACAACAGAGGATTAGATGGTTGGATGGCATCATTGTCTCAAGGATGTGAAAGTGAGCAAACTCTGGCAGTTAGTGGAGGACAGAGGAGCCTGGTGTGCTACAGTCCATGGGGTCACAAAGAGTGGTACATAACTTACTGGGACTGAATAACAAAAGGGAGATTGGGATTGACGCATATATACTACTGTGTATAAAATAGATAGCCAGTGGGAAGCTGCTATATAGCACAGGGAGCTTAGCTCAGTGCTCTGTGATGACCTAGAAGTGTGGGATGGGGTTGGAGTCCAAGAAGGAGAGGCTATATGTATACATACAGCTGATTCACTTCATTGTAGAGCAGAGATTAACATAGCATTGAGAAGCAACTATACCCCAATAAACTAAAAAATAAAATAAAATAAAAAACAAACTTCATTGAGGCAAAATGTACACACTATAAAATGCATCTATTTTAAGTACAGCATTTGCTGGGTTTTGACAAATGTATGTACCATGTAATCACCGTTATGGTCAATCTTCCAACATGTCCATCACTCCAATTCCTCTCCTGCTGTTTGTGATCAATACCTCCCCAAGCCCAGACCTGGGCTGTCACAATAGTTTAGATTTGCCTTTCCTGGAGTTCCTTACAAATGGAATCATGCAGTGTACTTGCTTTTGTGTCTGGGTTTATTTCCCTCAGCATTGTGTTTTGGGGTTCCATCCATATTGTTCATGTCTCAGCAGTTACCCTTTTTCTATTGACAATAAATACTTGGTTTTCCCCCAGTTCTTAGCTCTCACAAATAAAGTTGCTGTGAACATTAGCAGACAACTTTCTGTGTGGGCCTGTGTTCATACTCTGGTGGTAAGCATATATGTCACTTTATAAGAATCCTTGAAACTGTTTTCCAAAATGTCTGAGTTCCAGTTCTTCCAAATTCTAGCCAACAGTTGGCATTTTTGG